GTAGGTCATCGCTGGAGGGTACGGGGTGCTTCACGGTCCATGCGGTCGTGCTAGGCTCGAACAGTGGTTCCATGCACTCAGTGTGTCGCGGACTACGGTCCAGCCACCGCCTTGTGTGCGCTTGATTCCCCAAATACAGCGTGCTTGTGTTTGCCTGTGAAGGAGTGTGGGCCGGCTCCGTTGACGAACCCTTGCTCCCATCCACGTGCCTCCCGGTTTTATTCCTTCGGGTTTCCACTGGATATGGTGTGTGTGGATGGACCTGTGGGTGGTGGAGTACAAGCTACCCATGGTCCATCTGTAGGCGCAGGCGTTCTGTGGCTGGCGACAGTGACAGGCAAATCCGAAACCGGATGCCGCCAACCATGCCAGTCTATTGGAGGCAAAGTTATGTGCTCACTGATGAGGGGTTGCGTAGTTCTCTCGGACTAGTGTGATACAAAGCGTTTGCTGGTCCCGGTGGTTGCTCCAAGTCCAAGACAGGGCTTGTACACATGCTTTGTCCACCCCCGCTTTTGATGAACGATGGGGTTCCTGGAAGCAGAGCGGACTCGGCTCCCAATATGCCTAAGAGTAATGTATGGAACGTTTAAATTAACTTCATCCATGCAGTTTCAAGGAAATTGTTAGGAGAAAAAGCTTAGCTGGGGTTCTCGACAGGTCAGATGAGATATCGCAGGGTTTGGTAATACGTGCAGTTTCTGTGCCCTCCCGCGGATATTCAAAACGTTCCGTTAATGCATTTTGCGTATACAGTGCGTTCACATAATTGTTGTTCCATAAGACAAATTCTGTATCTATCCCGTCGATAATGAATTCTTCCTTCGATGAAAATATCCCCAATTAGGTTCATACAGCCTATTTTTACCTGACTTCGTTAGTTAAACACCTATGTTTTGCACTCCTCTCAGGCTCTAGTTAGAGAACTGACGTTGTTGCACAGTTGAATTCTTTCCCTGGACCATTACGGTTCAACCTTGGATCGATGTTTGGGGAATGTCAAAGTTTGTACGTCAGGAGTCAACTTCAAATTTGCTGTGTAGGCGGCTTCGTCCTGTGGAAGTCAATAACTGGGAAGAACATTAACTACTGGAACTCCAGTGACTGTTATAGCTTACTTGCCATCAGTTCGTATATAATGCATTTGCATAATCGGCTGCAAATGTGTAGACGCCTGTGCTAGGCTCACTGGCAGAATTCTTAAGGCCAGAACTACAAGACATATCCACAAACTAGTATAGAAACAGGTAGGGGGACATTTCGCTGCGAGTCCGGGTGAATCGAGAAGCCAATCTACTTCGACAACCAGATTGTTTTTGCTGATCTTTGGTCACCAGTACATCTCCGGTGAGCTTTTCCTTATCCTCAGAAGAAATAATGGTCTCGATAACTCATGCATCTTAACTCCTCTATTAGCAATAGACAGAAGTTACCGCTCTGCATACGGAAGGAGCAAATGTTTTGCAACCAAATCAGGTACCAATCGATCTTAACATCACTGATTACAAGTGTTAAACCTATGGAACTGCACGAAACGACAGAATCCTCTCGCAATTTATTCCTGTCAGTATCCCTTTTGAACTCACGATGGTTTGCTGTTTCGAATTTCATGTGACATGCCTTGCACTCCATCCAGTATTTGACATCGTGAGAAAGAGACGACGGTCAACTACGCGCCTTAAGGAACCACATGACTCTTTATGGTGTTTTTGACGTTTTTAAACAATAAAGTGAAATGACCTATCCTTTATTCCTTCTAGAAGTCGCTGTTCCAACTCAATTTGGCAGACCCGCGCAATTACGACGGTCGTCCGCCGTTTGGCTTGACAAAATCTCTTGGAAAGGAACACCAGGACTATCACAACTGTCAGGCCTGTGCCAGTGGGATATTTCATCCCACAGACTCGACCTCTTCATGTTCTGTTCCCAATTACACCCCATCTAACGAGTCACCGTATCAGCATACTGCTGCATCAAACAGGCTCGCGGATTCCGCCGTGTTCTCTTCCGCTGATGCTGTCGCGTACGGAGATAGCACATCTGGTTGTGGCTCACCTCAGACTCCGACCGGTGATCATCCCGTTGCCCGACCGCGACATCAGCGATTAAAACGCACCAAAAGTACAGCGGACGCCAAGCAGTGCAAAACTAGAACCGAATATGAAGACTCACCCCAACCAGCACAACAAGCAGAGCTAACTGAACACACTACCAGCATCCAGTCTGACAGACGACCGATCAACCGATGGAGTGCTCTGAGTCGACTACCGATCACCACAGAGGTAATGTTGGATAGGACACCTCAAGGTTTTGGATTCAGCATTGCTGGGGGACGCAGCGATTCTGGAAGTGGGTCAACTCCCGGATCGGAAATTGTGGTGACCAAAATCAGCCCAGGCGGAGCTGCGGAATGTGAAGGCAGTCTACAGTAAGATTTCAGTGTTCTGCTGTTAGGTTGGCACACTTTCAATCTAAGTTACCCGAAGTCCTCCATTCCATATTTATTGCATATCCCTAGGTATAAATAGTATTAACACTTAATCGTCTGTTTATCAAATATAGTCCATCACGGTCTACTCAGAGTCAACAGGCTTAGGCTAGTCTGGAAAACGCCGGTGTCTTGTCAGTAGGTCTTGTCAGTGGTGCGCCTTCCAGTGGAATCCTACCCGGTTCTGCCCCCATGACTTCCGGATGCCGACAGCCAGCGCCATTTCGTCATGGGTGGAAGCCGCAGACCTGCATGATTGACAGTTGAAAGTGATATAGCCCGACTCACCTTTTACTGCCATGCAAATTACGAACTGTGCAGAGGACAGCAGCTAGCCCCACGAGCTAGGACTTTCCGTGCATCGCCTTGGTACAACGCAAGGACTTAAGGTCACGACGAATCCTACTGACCCAAACATTATGCCATGACACTTGCTCCTGCTGCTCGGGCGCCAGCAGACATTATGCCTTTCCTGGACATTGATTCCGTTCAGCGTTTGGAATTGTCTCTTTCAACCGTGACCATTTTGTTCATTATTGGAAAACACACACATATTTTTCCTTAATGTTTATCCTTGCACATTTTATTGTGTTGTGGGAAGTTCGAAAGGTATGCTTTTCTGTGACCAATCGCATTGTTAGCTAGAAAGTGTCTGTTCCCTTAAGTGAAAATTACAGTGCCTGATCCCTTTGGGCGGTATAACCCGGATTGATGAACCAGCAGATCTGATTAATCAAGTTCCCTTAATCGCTAATAAATCCGGCGATTATTGCGGGAGAAGTTACGCGGAACAGTTTAATACCGCAATCTGAAGAAAAGGTTACACAATATCGACACCAGATGATGTTCTACCAGTGTTGCCCAAAGCCAACATGATTAAGCAGATTGATCTTGCTCCCGCCTTTCAGAAACTGGAGGAGAGCCCAGCTATCTGATCCCATTTCGAACGCCTTTTGAATGTTCTCGATTGCTGCGCTTACCATTGGTTGGACGTGTGGTGGTTAGCTTCCAGAACACTTGGCGTAAGCTTTAGGTGACCCAACCTAAGGGTAGCGGACGACCTGCTAGTTTTTCTTATCAGTAGAGAAGAGCCCCATAGTCATTACGGTAGTTTCCTGTAGCGTGGCTCTGTAAAAAAACATCAGGCTGAAGCGTGAGGAGATCGAAGTGCACAAAGCATAGGTGGATTTTCATGGGCAATTATTGGTTTCGGAAGGGCTGGTACCATATCCGCAAAAATTCAGGACCATAAACGAGATGCTTCCTCCATATGCTTCGGAAGCTTTCAACCTACCGGATGGTGAACTAATTGAGCCGATTCATACCCAGACCAGCTAATGTAATGATTCCGAGCAGAAAACTGATGCACGAGGGCGAAATTTGACAGTGGAATCCGCAGTCAGAGAAGACCTTACAAATGATTAAACGCTCTGTCCCGGACATTTCCATCCTCGCTTACTCATTGCTTTTGCTCGAGATCCAATGTGACTGGCAAGTTCTGCATCGTAGTCATGCTAATATAAAACGGAAATTTTAATTCAATAGTCAAATAGTGTATGGAGATGCAAAAGCAAATTAAAATCAACCATGTTCCAACGTGAAATGTGGAATCTCACTACTTAAGCCATTGCACTTTATCAAACTTTTGTGTAGCCTTTATCACTAAGATGAAAGTCAAATAGTCACCTGAACATGGTGGTGTTGAGTGCGTACAACACATGTGTTGGTAGTGCATTCCAGTGAGAACATATTCCAAGTGAAAACAATTACTTTCTACAATTCGAACGGGAGTGTTGTGTCATTAGTTTCAGGCGGTTGCCTCCTCATTGTTTCTAAGGGGTTAGGGTCACCAGTGGTATATATGGATGCTCACTTTCAGTTAGTATCCGGTATGTGAGAGTAATACCTCCGCGAAGCCGTCTGTATGCTGATGAGAACACACATGCTACACGAAGACGCAGTTCGTAACTTAGACCGGATAGTCCACGCTTTGCATTTGTACCTCTTCTTTGGGGTTGTTCCAATAGGCGAATATCTCGTTTTAACCATAGACATCAAGCGTGAATTGCATATTCAACATGAGGACGAATGTAGGAGTTAATCAGCATTGGTACTAGCCCTCGTTTAAAGGTGCTGAGAGCTCATCTCAAAAGTCTCAAGTTCAAGTTCGCCACATTTGCTGTTTTCGAGCACTGGAGCAAAGTACCAAGACTCTCTTGCACAATTATACCTAAGTCGCGTTCACTCGTCACGTGTTGTCCCAAAAGGTATGTGTTGACGAAGCTGCTGCGCACCGTCAGTATGTGGCAATTTGCAGGTTTCAGTGGGAGTTGGTTCATTTCTGACCATTCGTGAATCCGAGTCAGATTTTCCTTGAAGTAGACACGGTCGGATGCTGAGCGAATTGCTCTCCATATTTTAGCATCATCTGCAAATATTCGCATCGGAGATAGAATGTCCGATGGTAGGTCACTAATGTAGACTAAAACAGTAGCGGATCAAGGACAGATCCTTGCAGTACACCACTGGAGACGCAAAGGTTTTCAGATTGAGCGTCAGCCACTGTTACCTTGATTGCTCCGTCGTGTAAATAGTCTTCCAACCAGGTGAGCAGGGAACGCTTGAGACCCTAGGCAGCAATCTTTTGGAGGAGAAAGAAATGACTGACCCTGTCGAATGCTTTAGAAAAATCCAAGTAAATCACATCTATGGGGCTCCTTCATCAGCCGCCCTGGTCCATGAGTTCCTAGTAAGCAGCAACTTGGTGAAACGAGATCGTCTGCGTCTGAAACCATGTTAGGCATTAGAAATTATCCGTTGACTTTCAAATTATCGCGTCAGTTCATCTGCTATTACCGATTCCATCACTATTGATAAAACAGGCAGGAGAATAACAGGTCGGTAGTTGGCAGGACCCGATCGCCTACCTCCTTTGTATATTGGAGTGATAATTCCACTTTTTCACTCAGATGGGAATGTATGGGTGGTAAGCAGACCATGGACAAGGGCTGCAAATGGTACTGCTATAGTTGGGGCAAGGGTTTTAACTACTACTGGGCAGATCATGTCGACGCTGGATATGCCAACGACATTTGTTGGGAGCTGATAGGGCGAAGATTCCATGTTATTTGTAGCTACCGAGCCAAACTGAAGAGTGGAACGTTCGCTGCATCCACAGCAGTAGTAGTTAGGCCACTGGCCGTCTTGCGTGGTGGTATTCCGCGCTTAACCTCTCTTTCCTCATTCAAATGTCTGCATAGTAGTTTGGTGTTACTCGTACAATTCAGTACCATCGTCTCCTACCATTCGTACTCATCGACTGTAATGAGCTACGTGCAGCTTTTTCTGGCTGCTTTGTAATTCCGCCATATGGTATCTCATGGGCTTAGCAAATGTGGCCTCCATATCTCATCTCTTCTGTTGATCCATTTACGTGTTCTGCTTCGGATCCACGTATTGGTCCGGCGAGCTGCTCCTAATGGTACAACTTTTGAGGCTGATCATATGACCCAGCTAATCTTATCATTCACTTCATTCCATGCGTCTGTAGGTCCCCGTCAACGGTAGCCGCTAAATTATCCGTAATAGTTCATTGAGCTCCTCTTGCGTTATCAACAGTACTGGCATAAAACACATAACCAAACTTTAGGACTGAATGGTCGCTACAGCCCAATGAAGGGTCGCATGCTACTGACTCAACCGTCAACTCTTCATTAGTCAGGACTAAGTCTAGGAGTTACTTGTTTGAACTGCAAAGTCTGTTTGGTCGATACGCATGGTTATACAAAACTGCCATATCCATGAATTAAATGAGCTTCGATGTAAATAATGGCCAATTAGGAGACACTGCTGCTATTGAAGGTACATTGAAGTCGCCCATTCTGCGATAGTAGGAGTAGTTTAGTGAAACAGCATAGTGGAGAGCCTTTAAATGTTATGGCTGTCTGCTGACAAGTTCAGTGGTCTATAGGTAACTGCTAAGAGGCAATCATCAAGCGTTTTCTTCTGTGATCCAACCTCTCGATCTGCTAGGTGCGGTCGGTAAAATATTCTCTCGGGAATAACAAGGGAATTTTCGTTAAGGGCCTCACAATTCAATTAATCCCGATAGTAGAGGGCAACACCACCACAGCGAGATGGACGACCATTCCGAATGACAGACATCTCAATAAGTTCAATCTCCGGATCAAGTATGTCGTTAGAATTCCAAGTTTTATTGACTGCTATGAGGTTTCAAGTTGTTGGTTCATGTCGATGACGCAGTTCCGGGAGCATAGAATACAACTCCTGAGCGTTGGCGTAGCAGAATTGTGGTTGTTGACGTATTAGGAGCTCGGTTCGCAGCGAGTGACCAGCACAAATAGTGTCGGTCTGCTGAAATATTTTGAAACCGGTGTTTGCACATATGGCTGGTCTGAGATAAGTACAACTGAGACTGGCTCATTTGTATCTGGGGTCTGTACTAGTTGAAGGAATGATCTTAACTGTACTTCTGGTGGCCCAAGTTTCCTCTTGTCATGTCCCTCTTGGATCGCCACTGATACCATTTCGGGCGCAGCCAAGGTAACTTCCAAAATTCGTGGCACGTTGCCTTTTTAGTTTGTGGAGGCAACTAGACGGGTGACGTCAAAAGCCGCGACATTTTGCATGTCGTAGAGCTCTATGATTTACCTTTATTCTTCCATGTCGTGCTTCTGTCGTTCACTGCACTCGTCATGCTTCTATTCTGACACACCATGAACCAATACCACTTGCTTCATCTCATTTTGACGTGACGCACTAGGGTTGGATTACCGCTTTTGTCTTTCTGCCCATGGCCTGTCAGGAAAAAATGCGGGTACTGACAGAAGAACACTATAAGGTGGCTTGCTAAGAGAACATCTTTCAGGTCGCGTTGTCAAAGGTTACTCGCAGTAACCGAGGTTCGTCTATGTGTGGAGTTGA